GTCGACGAAACCCAAATGGGGGGACTGTGCCATCGAGTTTCACCCTTTCCGAATCGCCCAACCCGGCGCTGGCTGCTCGTGGCTCTTCTATGCAGGCCATGGAAATCTGAACTAGACCTACAGTGGATGGACGACTTCCATTTCGCACCACCTAAGAAACCTGGAATGTTGATTCCCCGGTAAGTACCAACCAGCCAATGGTTTCCCATCGTTTCAAAGCGGTGCGAACGGATTTCGTCCGTCCACAGTATGAAGGCTATTGGGCATGAGGGACCCACTGAACCGAAGCCTGACGGCTTTCTTGCTCAGGGCCTATGGGAAGGGACCATGCACTGAATCCCTAAGGCCTACGTTACGGGAGATTTGCATCCACCTCATGTTGCCATTCCAGGACCTCCGACTCGTAACCCCTACAACAAAAAGCGTGATTAATAGTCATTTCAAGCAACAAATAGATATGTTATGTTAAACCCATGATGGCCTCTTGTCGTCACTGTTAGACTGTTCCAACCAAAGAACTGGGAGCTGTCAAAATATCTTGAACCCCCGGCACTATCTCGCCCAAAAGTGGGTCCGGCGCGATTTTCTCACCTCCACGCTGGTGCTCATGCTGAGGCATTGTCTATAGTCCTCCAGCACGTAGCACCATGCACGGTGCACGGACACGCTACCAGTACGTGCAGGTCACCAGAATGGCAAGAACAGAAGCAGCCAGCGAACATCTCGATGGCAGCAAGTGCTGTCAGGTGGAATTGACAAGGGCTGCCTACCCCTCAAATATCAGCCAGGCTTGCCAAAATGGACTTGAGTTGATGCCAATGGTCCTTTGTAGTTGCCGAGTATTTGTACTTGCCATTCTCCGAGGGCACTGTAAACACAGCCTTTCACAGCCGTGTGAATTCAAATTCAGGCAGGCATGTCGTGTAAAACCGACACGCAGCTTGGGGCTGTTGACACAAGCCGGAATTCTTTGGCGGCCCAGAGTAAGGCACAGTAGTGATCGATCTGCAAATTCTGCAAGAATTCCAACACCTGAAATAAGAAGGAATACCCTCATCATTTTTCCCCCAAATCGGTGAGCACGCCATAAACTAGGCAGATTTGTGCAACCCCCAAGTGACTCTGAGCTTGGACACACAGCACAGGTGGCTGCAGGACTCTTGCCCAGGAGGCTTTAGCTTCAAGCTCCCACAAACATGGCACCTCACAAGGGGCAAGTTGCAAAAGGAAATTGATCTTCCAGTTACCAGTCTCACAGGTGCCACGGTAGTGGGAGGGTATCTAGTAAGTCATATCTTGTTGGCGAGTCTTCTGTAGGGACAAACACTTTGCCGAAGGGTTTGAGCTCACCTTTCGGCTGTAATTGTCTGTATTCGCGCCAACAGATTCCATGCATGTCATGCCCATCCCGAACGCAACAAACCCAGAAACAGCAATCAACACCATGTGCCCATGCGTGTTTTTTGGCAACACAAATACAAGGACACCAAAGAAAGCTCAAAACCAAACAAACCCAAAACCAGAACAACCAGATGTGAAACCAAGTCGCTAAACCAACCTCTAGTCCTAGGAGGGAATGAAGCGAAGGCAGGTGTAGCCAGCGAGCTCCTTGCTGGCTCCTGGGATATCGATCCCAAGTCGACGTGATCCGACGGAAAGGTGACTTGGGGCTGGGAAAATGGAAGGAAAACCCCACAAGAGAGTGAACCACCACACATCAAATCTTACCGGCAGGAGGGAACCCAATCATCTAGGAAAAGGTCAACCTGCAAACAGTTCTCACTTCACGTGGTCCTGGATGTGGTGGAGAGGGAACAGGAAACGAAAAAACACATACAGGCGGATGCGGAAAAGTGCATGCGGACCCCGGTTTCCCTGTTGGCCTTCCTTTTAACCACTCCCCCAACAGGGTACCGTCACAAAAAGACACACCCACGTGCGCAACAGTGGTGGCTTCGTGAGGCCGCTCTTTGTGCGATGCTTCAAGGATAACCCAACAGGAACCCCACCATTTTTGCTGGCATCCCTACTTTAAGATCACCCATATAGGGAGAAGCAAAGTGACAAAAATCGGGGACCCGAGAAGAAAAAAATGGTAGTCAAAGAGCCCAGCATGTGGGTATACGTCAAAATAGGGGGACCCCACATATTGCGGTTATCCTTCTGAACCAACCTGAAAGGTTACCAGCCAAAAATAAACACGCTCACGGTGTGTCACAAATGGGACCCGACAAATGACATCCGGGTGGGCTCCCTCTTTTCCCCTTAAAAGGAGCCCAACAACCAAAAAAAACATACCCACATGTGGCTTCAAAAGGAGCAACACGGAGGTTGGCGTCACGAAAAAAACGTGGGTTCCTGGTCTCTAGCGAAAAAACAGGCAACCCCTCCACCACTTTAAAGGATTTTGTATTACAGCCTGGGACTACACCCTTGGGAAATGACCCAGAATGGTTCAAAATAGCACGGTCTTATCCAGACATGTGCCTTTTTTGGGGTCAATAATTACCCAGTGGGTATTCCCAGGGGTGATACAAAAACCTTGTTTTGGCCGTTTTTTCTCGGGAAACCACCGGAAAACCAGAGATGTTTCGGGGGTTGCCCTTTTTGAGACCCCCCAGGGTGTAATACAGAAACCCTTAGAGACCACTTCGAGCGCTTTGAAGTCGCCAGGGCTCCGATGCCCTCGGGGCGCACCCAGACCTCGCAGCGCCCGGAAGCGTGGAACTCCACGCCAACGCCTCGAGGTCGCACCGCGCGCGGCGCGCGGGCGGTTTGGCGTCTAAGGGAGAGAGGTGTCGAAAGGTTTGGGGCAAATACACGGGAATCACCACCCCAAAAGTGCCGGACATGAACCACCTAAGTCATGTAATCAAAAGTGGCTGGTGGACATGAGCCACCTAAATCATCTTCTTGGTTCAGACCAAATGGGAAAAATGAAAAACATGTCCGGTAGTGAAAAGCTCCTCTTAAAACCAAGAAGGGAAACTAAAAATATTCTTCTGCAAATCAAAGTCATGTCCAGGGTCCTGAAAAAAGAAACACGATGCAATATTTGTGGGGGAGGTGTCTGCGGGTCTAAGGGACAAACATCTTTTGGAGAGTGGTGCCAATTTTTTCTCACGGGAGAGGTACTGTGGATGGTGGCAAAATCCATTTCGCGCCACCGTTCAGAAACCCTGAAACAAACATCCGGGTGCTTGGCCCACAAAACAAGCAAGTACCGAAATAACATGTGCGGATTCTGTTTCGTATTTAGTCTAACCCTAAAATAGAAAACAGTCTTGGAGGAGACCCCGTTCGGGGTTTGCCCTTCCAAAAACATGTCGTGGATCGCAAGGGCAGGGTCTTGTTCGCACCTATCCTTGTTGGGGACTAGGGTTGGTTGCAACATTTGTGCGCACCAACCCAGGCCCCCTTAGCAAAACCGAGAGGATGAGGTTGGCCCAGCCCTGGCTGAATCGCATGCCTCTTGCGAAAATGAACCACGATAATGATAATATGGCTGTGGGTCAAAACCCTGTACCCCTGGTGAACATCAACATAGGTGGCAAATGGATGATCATGCAGTCTCCGCGCCTTGCATGTCAGCTAGCACGCGTATGCTTTGCATTTCAACACGCAGGGTCTCTCTGCTGCAGCGCTCTGCGTGGAGCAAACTTTTGGAAATTGGTGTCAAAGTGAAACTGACTGCCCATGCGCATGCACTGCAGTGACAGGGTCCCCCAGCCGTCAGTAAAAAGGCACCCAACCCTTGCTCACAGCACAAGCTGAGGTTCAAGGATTGCGCCGCCCTGGCCTGCAATAATCCGCAGCTGTTGCCACCCGAAAAAGGCCTTCATATCATTCCACGCCTTTCGAAACTTGGATGGCGTGTATTCGGTCAAAGCCTCACCAGGGGCTTTGTTGCGTGTCAGTGTCTGCAAGCAATGCCATGTCGAAAACGTAGACGTCGCTTTGCTGCTTTAGTGTCATGCAATGCAAGCACAAACCCTTCTGCGCATGCTGTAACCGCACCTGCTGTGAGCTTAAGCATTTCGCCCGTGCGTAGCAAAACAACAAAACCTACTATGACGAGCCTGGCCAATGGCTTGTGCCCGTGTGTCCAGAAAAAGTTGGAAATTGCATAGAGCCAATCCCTGGAGAGGGGACAGCCAGGGGAGCTCCAACCGATCCAAGCACACTTCAGTCGCCATGCTCGGTTAAGTTTGTGTTTTACTGCAGGTATGAAATGCTGCAAAGCTGCAAGTGTGTAAGAAGCTGTGGATTTGGATTCCCCCGTGTCCCAGAGAAGCTCCAAATCAGAGGCTGCTAAATCGTCATAGTCGTCAACCTGGTGGGGAGTTGATTGCAAACACTTGAAACAAATTCCATTAACTCCAGGAAGGCGGTGCTGTACCGAAAGACTGAAGCAGGGATCAAAAGGTTTGATGTCAAAGGTCCCACCGTGTGGCGGAGGCGCTGCCTGGACTCAGCCGCGCGACCTCCAACTATGGAGGTTCGTACCATCTACTGGGTTCATCCGCTGGGTTGCTCGACAAGGCAACCCAGCCCACAAGTGGAAACGCGTCCCACGCCATGACCAACTAGGCGGCGAAGCCACAAGTTGAGCTGCTCTGACGAACTTGACCCCCTGCCACCTGGCTGTCCACCAGACACACGCACCTGCTTTCCTGAAACCTGGAAGAGCGGGAACGCCACTTGAGAGCATGGAAATACGCAATCAACTCCAAAATGTTAATGTGCGCCATCCTTGTACTGTCTTCAATTTCCACCACCGAAAATCCATGCTGCTTCGATCAGGTCTGTGTGGTCAGACCCTCTTTGTTCGACCTTTCTGAGCAGTTGCTGCCCAGCTGCCACACAAAAGGCTGAACAGCTTTTCGATTTTTCGCCCAAAACATTCCTGGAGTGAACCACTCGTCCGAATCTTGAAACTGCACTTCTTTCTGGTCTGGAAGGAACTTCTCGGCAGGCTCTTCAGCCAGCTCTTGGAGCAGTGTGTGTTGCAAACCAGCCGCGTTTGCCTTGGGGCCCCCAACCCCAAGGCCCGCAGCCCGCCAATCAGCAGGGACAGCACTCCAGTTGTGGAAAGAGTTTCCTTCCGCTCGTGTTCCAAGCTTTTGCCGGAGAGGCCCTTTGGATTGACATTCGTGTGCCACCGAGCCGGCCTCCATGGCTGCTTTAGCTCAGCAATCCAAAAAACCCGCGCCGCGCCTGGCATGTCAGCCAGCACGCGTATGCTTCGCATTTCAACAGCCACGTCAAAATGGAGCCATGGGTTATGCCCCGTGGCCATATGTCTAGAAATGACCAGTCTAGAGTGAGTTGGGAACCAGGGAACCAAGCGCGAAGAGATGTACTACCACTCTTGGAGTCCCCCAGTACCCTACACCGATCCGTGTTTTATGGCTTTGCCATTCAGGGGTTGAAGCGGGAGGCCTATGGCTTCAATGGTCCTTGGATGCTCGTTAGCCTGGGGTATAACCCACTAACAAGGTTAGCTTCACTGAGGGGCTTCGCGGGTTATGTCTTAGGTTGCTAACAACTTGCTCGGCCGAACACCCAAGTAGTCAGCAATAATCCCTATTAGGTAGCAATGCCTCCCCTTGCGAGTGGGCTCCCAGTACAGCTAGTTGACTCCCATGACTACCTTGTCACTTTCAAGAGGATGTGGCATTCCCTAAAACCCACCATTTCTTCTCCCAAGCATGCAGCTGGAACCACTCAAAGCCGGAGTTTATAAAACGGCAGGGCCAGGCGCATCCTGCCGTCAGCGTGCAAAGACCCCGGCAGCTCTGCAAAGACCCGGCCTGCGGTGGGCCCCTATCCCCCGATGGCTCAGCCCTCGTGACAAGCCGCGCCCGGAGTCTTTCACCCAAAGCAGACATAAACCGTTGCCAAGCACGGCGGTGGACATGTTTTACACAACCAAACAAAGAAGAGACTCCGCAAATCCCGAGGATCCCGACCGATTCCTAGTGATCCCTAGCTTTAAGGGTATTAACAACCATAAACTAGTCCAAAGCCAGCCCCACTCCAACCCTGCCTAAAGGTGTTTCCCTCTGTCGAAAGCGTGCCTGACGCATGAGGTAGTAGCTGGCACGGTTGTCCGACGAATGCGTGCCCCGGCAGACGCGGTCCGCCCCGCCGTCCACGGGCTCGAAGCTGCCCGCGTAGCCTCGGATCTCGAAATGGCAACCGTCTCCTTTCGATTTGGGCTTCACTCACCTAGGTCCTCCAGTAGAGAGGTTTGGAATACGGGTACCAACTTTTTCCTGTAGTTTATTTTAGTAGGGAAACCCTCCCCGAAAAAAAAAAAGGGCAAAAGGGCACTACTGGGGGACCTAGCTCACGTTCCTGAGTCTGAAAAACAGCCCTGATCCTTTGTTGGGTACCGTGCTCTGGAAAAAGAAATGGATTCTCGTTCGCCTCCCACTCAACATGCCTCGGTGCACAGTTACCCTTTTGGAAGACTACCTTCTTGGAAAGGAAGCCTCACTTCCACGACCCCTTCACAAGATTCAAGAATTGCTTTATCCGCGGATCCCACCCCATTCCCCCACCCACTGCCCCCCCCCCTTTCCTGGCCCCGTTTCAAGCACAAAAACGAAGGCTTTGATGGAAATCCAGGGCAAAGGCTTGGGCAAGTGGAGCTACCGAGCAGCGGTAGCTGAAGCACTGGTAATTTGCCAGCCTCAGCTGGACGTATCGCGCATTCATTCCGTCAACCGACATGTGTCGCTTTTGAAAGGGAACCCCGACGGACACCCGAGGGACCCTGTTTGGGGATCCCCTACTTTGAGACACATCTTGGAGTTTGGTGAGCAACCTCTCCCACTCCACATAGGGGGGCCCCACAAAAAAGGAACCCTACTGGCCGCGAACAGGCCTTGTTATTGGCCGCCATTAGGCCCCCCTTTGGGGGGTGCCTGAACCGCACCCCTACAAAGGGATGTATTTACCAAGGAAAAACCCAGCTTTTCAGCAGATGCCTCAAACAAGTTGGCGTTTTTACTAGCGGCTAGGACCACTAAATGACAGCAAACAGGGGGGTCTTTTTGCCACCTTTTGTGGAAAATGGTTCGACCCCCACGTAGTGAAGGATTCCTTTTTGAGGGGGGTCGCCAATTTTCTCGCAAAAGGTGGCCACAAGACCCCCTGACAGCGAACATATTGATTGCTCCTGTGGTTCGAGGGGCGACACGGATGCTTGGACACCCTCCGGCCGCGTCCAGATTTCGCAGCGCCCTCCGACCTCGTGAAGGAGTGGCAGTGGTTTGCTGGGTCCTCCTGTGTCTTCCCAAGGGTTGGCCGTTTTCTGGAGCTACCCTCCCACCAACTAACATGGGTTTGTGCAAAAAGGCAAACTTTCCAAGAGGAAAGTCGTCTTTCTACAGGGGTCTGTTCACTTCCATGTTAGCTGGTGGGAGGGTAACCGTGTTTTTCTTGCTTCAAAAAGGGTGTTCAAGGGTATCCAAGAGTACCCTCTTTCTCACA